AGTGGCACTGCTCGTGGTCCGTAGAGAGTCGGAGAGTCGGTTTCTACCTACGTAGCAGTGCTAGTCAGCCACTTTCCATTTTCATCCCCCCCTGCGCGCACACTCCATTCTTTATACTGCTGTATCGGCATGCAATATATTGGTTTAGACGCTCTATTCTATGAAGTGATGAGCATGTAACAGCTTCCCTGGCAGCTCGACAGCTCTGACAGCGCTTATCGTCCTTGCCTTCGTCCACCATGGCCGATCCCCTCGGTATCGTCGCAAGCATCCTCCAGCTCATTACTGCCGCCAAAGCGAGTATCAACATGGTCCGAGATATTGCCAATGCGCCGAAAGAACAGCGGAATCTCTTCGCGGAAGTCGGAAACCTCGAGCCGCTGCTCAAGAGCTTTGAAGGCCGCTTGCAGGCCAATTCATCGGTCCATGGAATGCTGGGCCTCAAGGACCCGTTGGCTCAATTCAAGGATACGATGGAGCATGTGATGGCTAAGCTGCGATCGGCCAATAAGCCGGGGTCGAGAATTCCGAAAGCCCTGAGCTGGACATTGTGGAATAAGAAGGAGGCGGAAGAGGATCTTGTCAAGATGGAAAGATTCAAAGCATTGCTCAACATGTGGCTGGTGTTGGATATTTGGTGTGTATCTCTGCAGCAGTATAAGAAATCATTTATTTATTTCGCAACTATTCAGGGACATCGGCCAGCAGCAGCAAAACAATCATGACCGTAAGAATTTCAAACATTGTCCAGTTCACTGTTGGTCACTCACGGATTTCACTGGTGCTAGAAATAATCAAGGCTGTGGCTGACGCTGCCCAGGGACACCATCGAGAACAGGATGGTGTGTGCTGGACCGGATTCTTATTTTGACTAACATTCTGCTTCGGCATAGTTGCTCTGAACAAAATCACAGATGTTGCAGATGATCAGCGAAAGCATATCGATTGTGAGGCTGCTCACGGTTCCAGAAATGAGATATGGCTCACATTGGGTTAGGGCTAGAAGCTGAGCACGCAGCGGCAGAACGAAAGAGGATTATCGAATGGATTTCGCTGCTGAATTTCTTTCAGCGGCACGACGATATATTGTGCGCTCGACAGGAAGGAACGGGCCTATGGTTATTGGAGGATGCTAAATTCAAAGACTGGGTCTCTGGAGCCGGGGCAATTTTCTGGTGCTATGGAATGCGTGTGTAACTCTTTTTGCTCTATTTTTCTCATGTTGATTGAACTACAGCTGGGGCCGGGAAAACGGTGCTTTCGTGAGTACTTTTCTATGGCTGATGATATTTATTCAACCTCCAATAGATCAGCCATTGTCAATTATCTTCTGGAGAAATCTCCGAGCCCGAATGTCGGGGTTGCCTGTGCATACCTGAACTACAAGGAGACGGATATGCAATCTCCCGAAAATATTCTGGCAGGCCTCTGGCGGCAGCTCATATTTGCAAAGCCCATTCTCCCGGGTTCTCCGGCACATTCACTTTATCACAAGCATCTCGAAAAGCAAACATGACCCTCCATTAATTAGATGCATGCCATTCTTTCCTCTGTGGTGGCAGATTACTCCAAGGTATATATTGTCATTAATGCCCTTGATGAGTATCCGGAGACCAAGCGCCATGTGCTGCCGAGACACTTGGCAGCACTCAAGCCTAACATCAATTTACCCTTTACTTCATGTCGAGATCCGGGCAACAGAGGAGGATATCCGCCGATATCTTGATGCGCAGATACAGAACTCATTTCGGTTGTCAAGACATGTCCAATCCCGTCCAGAGCTACACCAGGAAATTGACAACCAAATTATCGGCAATGTTGATGGAATGTAAGTGCTGCAGTTTATTCATTCATAGATGTTCTAACTGACTCAACAATCTTGAAGGTTCCTGCTTGCTAAGCTTCACATTGACTCTCTCACAACAAGAAACACAGTCAAAGTTGTTCGTGAAGCTCTAAAAAGTCTGCCAACAGATTTGGAGGATAGTTATAAAGAAGCAATGGATCGCATTGAGTCCCAAAGCAAAGAGGACAGAAACATTGCCAAAAGAATTCTCATCTGGATTGCAAATGCCAAGACACCACTCTCTGTTGTGGAACTCCGGGAAGCTATTGCTATTGAGCCAGGCACAAAAACACTTGATCGAGATGGTTTTCTTGACCCAGATATCTTCCTTTCTGTCTGTGCTGGGTTGGTTGTTATCAACCATGCAGATGGTAGTGTTCGATTCATCCACTATACCACTCAAGATTATATGGATCGTGTGCAAACCAATAAATTCCCATATGCGCAGACAGAAATCACCTGTGGACGTATCACATACCTCTTGTATGATGACTTCCTGCAGCTGCCAGATTCACCCAACAAGCTGCATGCATTGGGACAGGAACATGCACTGCTGGATTATTCATTCTGCTATTGTCTGGTTCATTCTGTGGGGCAGCCTGAGCTCATACTCCGGGATATGATCCTGGCATTCTTGGCACAACCCATTCCTATCTATCTTTCAGATCCCAAATGACATGTTGCTCAAAAAGCAAAACAGCTCTGCACTTTAGAAACTCTTCCTGAACCTGTCAAAGCCTGGAAAAGATGTGTGAAACCCTGCAATTCATGAAAAAAAAAAATTGTGCATTTGAAATAAAAGTATGCCAAGCACCGTTCTCAAAGCGATCTCCGATCCAAACATGAACCACTTCAGACAAAACAACCTCCAGCAAGCTAAATACTTTGTATATCGGGCTTAGCCAAGATTCCGGCTTCTCAATAAAGTATTTAAAATGTCCTAGCGGTCCAATTTAATGTATTGGCAGAGCAGACATACAGTCAGGCTGTAAATTGATGGATGCTTACAAACTTACCCCATATGGTATATAGTGTGTGATACAAATTCAAATTCAGATCAACCAGCCTGTCTATTGACACAACTGTTTTGATACGACAGGCTGGACTGGAGCCTAGGTTCCCTCAGATCTTGGAAGCCATGATCTGATAGGTTTTTTTTTCCAGACTTCTTCTGTGATTCCAAATGCTGTGGGTTGCATTTGAATTAGATTTTCCATTGTTGGATTGAAAACACATATACTTGAATGCCGGCCTCGTGAATTTTACATTCAGAGACGCTTCTGAGAAGCTACTGCAAAAATTGGGATGCCCAGCCTGTCTTCCCTGTATTTTGAGGATCTACCCACAATCTACCAAGGCTTCATAAAATTATTTTCAGGCTGGATAGGTGCAGAGGTTTTATTCCAGCTGCCTGTGTTTTTAACCTTGTCGCCGGCTGAATATCTTCGGAGTAAGCGAGAAATTGAGTGAGCTTGGGCTCAAATCTGCTTCCTAAAGTAAAGTGACTTACTTGAACGCACAGAATGATACCAATTCGAAAATTCAACGCGACCAGCATTAGAAATTAGATATGTATTTTCGCTCTAGAAACAAGGAAATTATATAAATGGAGGACTCCAATCACCGTCTTCCCGTCGTCACTACTCCCGGCTGATGAACAGAGACGAAAAGTAAATTAATCCGAATTCCCCTTTACTTGCAAAGGTCGAATTACTAAATTCAATGCCCAGAATGACTGGAAACGTTTGAATATAAAATGAAATGAAGACAGGATGTGGAAAGAAACGGAGGAGTAAAAAAGGCATTTTCGAGCCGCATCCCCATGCCTTGGGGGATGATTCAAACCTCCGTCTTGCCATCATAGAGGGATGGAGGGAAAAAGAAATGTGGCAGGAAAAATTCACAGAGTTGCCCTTCATAAGTGGATTGAAGCCCCGCATGAACAAAAAATACAACCGTAATTACAATCAAAACAAAGACGGCAGCAGTGCATAAATTCATATCACAAATGAGAGGACCTGAAAATAATGTGTCATCAGTTTCAAGTATCCAGCCTGAGGTTTTGGAACAGACCGGGATAATTCTGCGCAAAAAGGCTTTGATAATATAGGGTGCTGGCAAAGACAATGGTAGCCAAGAAGTAGAGTTGAGGAAATATATAGAGAGTGGCATTTCGTTGCAAGTTTAAAGTGGGAGGTGTAGTAAATGTGTTTAGTGTAGGGCCCAAGTCGTCTGTGGCCTACTTATAACCCCGAGACAATTCACATCCGTCATCATCCTCAATGATGTTTATTAATGCCCGGTCGTTACACCGTGCGCAAGATTGCCGTGGCGTCTGACAGTTTCCGGCTGGCAGCCCCATTCAGGATGGGCTTGTCATTCTTGATAAAATAATCATCCCGGATTCAACACTAGCGACAATTTGTTCATAAATGCGGTCTGTTCTTTCGGTGAAAGAGTCGAGTGACTCACAGAATGTCCGTGTTTCATCACTCAGTTATTTTTACAAGCGTTGCTCACTCAGCGCTCGCACTGGGTGAATCCGCCGAGGAGGAGAAGGATGTCGCAAAAGGGGCCTGCAGGCAGGCTGTTGGCCGAGTCTCCCGCCGGCGGGGAATCCGGGACCATATTCCATGCACCCATGTCTATATGCGCACTCGCGCTCCGGGCCCGTGTTGACACTGACGGACACAGCGCCGTCATGGATTGTGGAAGCTTTGACAGGTACTGCATCCAAAATAGACGTGGTCCTGCGGCTTATAAACATTTTTCGGTGCAAATACCGAAAGGTGCCGAGTGACTCACGAAAATACGCTCCAAATGGGCTGCGGCAGGACAGGCACTGCATCCCACAAATATGTACAAGTTCAATCAAAAGCAACTGAATTCCGGTCGCATTTTTGCAGGGTAACAGGTTGAAAAGAACGAATCCTAAACAAGTTAGGACTCGTAATTCAAGCCTAGGTATTGTAAGTGCGAAAGGAGGTTGTAAACAGACCGCGTCGAATAAAATATCAATCAGTCCGGGATTGCATTCAAAGCACGAAGTCTATCTGGGTCGTGCGCAGAGAAAAATGAATATTGTATGGTTATTGCACAGCGAGAAAATAATGCGTGTAAGCTACGACAAAAAGACTTGCATCCCGGCGCCCCATGCCTCGGGAGGGATTCGAACCCCCATCTTCCCGCTGTAGAAGTGGTGGTGCCGGCTCAAGTATCAGGGACGTTCCACCATGATCCACCGAGGCCTTCCTGCGATACCTATGCAACCAGATAAGTGTACCCTTCCAATTCAGCTAGAATTAAATTTGAACTTGAACCAAGCCCGGCAATTCCGGCCTCCCAACCAATCCTGACCAAATCGAGTGTCTCCTTTTTCGGCTGGTACTTTCTCCTACCCACTGAGACTCTTGACGTCGTGCTCGTTCATCTGGGGTTTGAGCCTTAAACGAAGACCACACAGACGATGTCGACGATATCCAGTCCGGGCCCTGTGCCACTCGCCTTTCCGCGCCCCGCCTCGCCCACAAAGTCGCCGACCACATCCAGTTTTCGGGATAATATCACCAATAATAACGACACCACGAATGTGAATAGCTCGCCCACCCCGCGATCGCGCACCAACTCGCTGTTTGATTCCACTGCTGGAGGTACGTACCTGCTACTGCGAGAGCTATCAGTTTAATTTATTGATTATGCATAGGCTCGCCGCACCGCAGCACGCCTAGCATCGATGACCTCAAGCCCAACGCGCACCCATACCCCATTCACACGACCTCCACCGCGCTCCTCATGCGCTCCAACTCCACTAGCTTGCAGCAGCAGAATGGAGGGCGGCACCACTACATGCCGCCGCCCCCGCACCCCTCACCGCACCGGGAGAGAACCAGGAGTAGCGCCAGCGCTAGCGGGGATGGGAATGGAGGAGGTAGCGGCGGAAAGGCCGGGGGTGAGAGGAGGGGCGAGCACCACGAGCACCGCTACTCGCGCAGCCTGAGCTCGAGCGAGGGGATGGCGTATGGGGGTGTCGCTGCAGAGAGCCCAAGGGCGCTGCCCGTGCCGCCTGGGTTCGGTGTGTTCCCTCGCTGCCCATATTCTGCTCCCAATCCTGATTTAATAATTATAGACACCACGCCAGACAATAAAAGAATAACCACCAGTATCTCACCCAAGCGCTGGACGCCCGCACAGCTGGCCGCATACCTCGGCGGCGAGGCGCGCGCCTGTCTCCTTCAACCTTGTCACCAACCGTACAAGTATGGAGGAAGTATGAGCTCCAGATTATTTTTTTTTTTGAGTACTTGGTCGACCGCACACAAACGGCTGGCCCCCTGAACGTGTATAGTGCAGGCCAAGAGGAAGAAAGCAAAAGAAGAAAACAAAAAGACTAACATTTTCCCCCAATGCCTTGGGGAGGATTCGAATCTCCACGGGCTACACCGAACGATTTAGAATACAAGACTGGGACAATCTGCCAATTGTTCCACCAAGGCCTATTCTCTACATTCGGAGGTTGGATCGGTGCAATAATTTTCGTGCTAGTGCAGGTCGATTTTTCGACCTTGCCGATCAACCAAATATCTGAGCAAAAATGCGAACGAATGTGGACTATGGCAATTAAATTGGTTTGGCCATTCTACATCTGAGGTCGTAGAGCGGCAAAATGAATTGAAACGATGGGGAAAAAATCTAGGCAAGAACAAAACCCATTTCGAGTCGAATGCCTTGAGGAGGATTCGAACCCCCGCCTTCCCGGTTATGCAATTCGAAGTCAAATAACGAAATAGGGATGATCTGCTGATTGATCCACCGAGGCTTATTCCCCATATGTCGAGCTTGGTTAAGTGCTGTCATTTCTGTACGAATTGAATGACTCTTTTCAGCCATGTCAGCTAATGACGAAGTATAATTGTTACGAGTACACAAGAAGTATGACCCTTGAAATTCAGGTTTGTTTGTGAATATTCGGTCGGCTACAGAGGACGGCTAGTAAATGTCAAGCTGGAAGGCTTAAGAAGGAAGAAGGGGTGAAAAACTTTCATTGGTTGGAAACGAACTATGCCTTGGGGAGGATTTGAACCGACGTTTTCCCATAGAACTCCTTACTTGGGATGGATGATCTACCGATTGATCTACCAAGGCTTATTCTCCGTATTTCGAGGCTGTCAGATAGGTGTTGTGACTTTTGTGCGAGTTGCATCTCGTCAGTTATTGGTGATCCGAGCAAACAAAAATTCAATGAATGTGGATTCCAATTGGTTTGTAGATGAACACACAGACTGGCGTGTTTTGTCAATGAAAGAACTGAAACGATGAAGAAACAAAAAAGTGAGAACAAAAAGTCTTTGAAGGTATCTTTACCATGCCTTGGGGAGGATTCGAACCTCGGTCTTCCCACGAACTACGACTTCGAATATAAAGCTGGGATGATATACCAATTTGATCTACCAAGGCTTATTCTCAGTATTTCGGAGGTTGAATAGGTGCAGTGATTTTTGTGCGCATGTCTGTTTTCAACCTTCTAAGCTACGCTTGAATCAATGTGAACTCCAATTGGTTTGGCAATTTTACATAGGTCGATGGATGTACAGGCTGGCATGTTCTGACTCTCGAATGAAACACGGGGAAAATAAAGGCAAGAACAAAAAGTCGCCAAACGCTTGGTGTATGCCTTGGGGAGGATTCGAACCTCCGCCTTCCTACGGACTACACAGAACGACTTGCAATATAAGACTGGGACGATCTACCAGTTGTTCCGCCAAGGCTTATTCTCAATATTTCGGAGGTTGGATAGGTGCGGTGATTTTTGTGCGCATGTCCGTTTTCAACCTTCTCGACCATTGACCAAATATATCGTGGTGAAGGCAAGAAATGCACTCAAGCTCTCGTGTTTGCGTAGTTATAAATATGTAGACTGGCATGTTTTGTATGATGGAGAAACAAAAAAAGCCAAGAAGAACTAAACCCATGCCTCGGGGAGGATTCGAACCTCCGGCTTCCTGTATACTCATTGAAGGACAGTTCATAAAGTTGGGATGATCTGCCAATTGATCCACCAAGGCTTTATTCTCTGTTTTTCGAGGCTGGGTGGGTGTAGTGAATTCTGTGTGAGCTGTAGACCTGCCTTTGCTTGAGCGACCCAACCATCAGAATAATGAATGAATTACCGCGGACTCTTTCCTGGTGCCAGTTATTCACGTCCTTCAATGGATAGAACCGCACGAAGTTAATGTAAACCTGATGCAGAAAAACCTGCACCAGGTGAGGAAAAAAGAGACAGTCGTTCTTGCCGGCTGTTCATGCCTCGGGAGGGACTCGAACCCTCGTCTTTCCATGATCTCATAGACATATACCCTCCATCACGAAGAAGGGATGATCAACCAACGATCCACCGAGGCGTTCCTGCCCTTATTTGAGGATAGCTATTGTAAGTGCGAAAGGAGGTTGTAAATAGACCGCCCCGAATAAAATATCAATCAGTCAGTGTGAGTTTGGGTTCAAGTGAAGTTTATCTGAGTCGCGCGCAAAAAAAAGATGTGTATTGTACAGAAAGGTGGTTACTGAACAGCGAGAAATCAATCCGTGTAATGTGTTGCATGGAAAAAAGTGTTTGTCTCCGCAGAGGGATTCGAACCCCCATCTTCCCGCTGTAGAACTGTTACTGGCTCAAGTAACAGAGACGATCCACTATGATCCACCGAGACTTTCCTACACTATCTATGCCGCAGATATGTTAATACCTCACCATAATTTGAACTTGAAACTTGAACCAAGCCCGGCAACTCCCGACTTCCCAACCAATCATGACCAAATCAAGCGTCTCCTTTTTCAAGTTCGGTCTCCCACCCATTGAGACTGACGACGACGTCGTGCTCGTTCATCTGAGGCTTGAGCTTCCGACGACGGACGAAAACGCCAACGATATCGACGATATCCAGTCCCGGCCCTGTGCCACTCGCCTTTCCGCGCCCCGCCTCGCTCACAAAGTCGCCGTCTACGCTCCGGTTCCGGGATAATACCACCGATAACAACACCACCACGAATGCGAATAGCTGGCCCACGCCGCGGTCGCGCACCAACTCGCTCTTTGACTCGCGGGCGGCACCACTACATGCCGCCGCCGTCGCCGCACCCCTCGCTGCACCGGGAGAGAACCAGTAGTAACACCAGTGCTAGCGGTGATGGGAATGGCGGGGGCAGCGGTGGGAAGGCGGTGGGCGAGAGGAGGGGCGAGTACCGTGGGCACAGATACTCGCGCAGCCTGAGCTCAAGCGAAGGGATGGCGTAAGTGGGTGGCGCTGCGGAGAGCCCGAGGGCGCTGCCGGTGCCGCTTGGGTTGGGTGCGTTTCCTCTCTATCCTTATATTCGCTGTTTTTTAAATCTAATATTGCATATAAAGGGACAGAAACCACGCCAGACAATAGAGGAATAACCACCACCATCTCGCCCAAGCGCTGGACGCCCGCACAGCTGGTGCATACCTCGGTGGTGAGGCCGGCGCGTGGACCGCGCACCGCGGCGTGGGCGGTCGTGCGTTCATGCGCATGGGCGAGGAGGAGCTGGGGGGCTTGGGTACGTGTTTTCATCTTCTTTCCCCGATTTCACCCTTTCCACCTTGACCGTTTCACCCCTACGTCTTCCCTTATTCGTTTTCTGTGCTCCACATGCGTTTCCTGCGTCGGTATCAGTCGACCGGTGTGGGGTCGCGATCGCACAGTGTGCCTCGCGCGAGTTCGTCGCCATTCTCGCGCAAAATACTAGTAGCGCCCCGACCGACTCGCTGTTCGTGCATCCTCGTACGCCCCTGGTCATTCTCCATCGGGGATGCCGCTCTGATCCTCTGCTGGGCGCCGTGCGACTCGACTTGCATGCGGCTCCATGACGCATACCCGCCCGCGTCTCCCTTGCTCTCGTGCCTCGGCGGTCGTCCCCGATCGTGTAGAAGCGGCGCCGACCTTGAGGGACGGCGCGTCCACCGTCGCACCCCCGCAGGCAGCGCAGCACCCTCAGTGTGGCGCGTTTCTTCGTCCTTTTTTTTCGCGCTGTCGACGTACCGTCCTCCTGCCAATCGGGAGCCGCCCAGCCGTATACTCGCCATAGCGGAATCGTCGCTGTCACCTTTCGTGTTCCTTCTTCCTTTATCTCTTCATGCGCATCCTCACGTCCTCGTCCACCCTTTCATCCTTACGCACCCTGTCCGTCCTCCGCACCCCCGTCCTCGCATCCCTCCTTCACCCTATCCATCCAGCCTTGCTTTGCCTTGCCTTCCCTTCTGCTTCGCTTTCTTCCTCTTCCTCACCTCCACCTCCACTCTCTCGCGCGTATAGTGGTTCCCTAACACCCTTTTTTTTTCGCCTCCTTTCCCTTCCCTTCACTCACTCCCCGCCCCCCCCACTCCGCACCCCTTCCTTTATCCTCTCCTCACTCTTTGCTCCCTCGTGGCTTCCCCCACCGAGCGCCGTGCCCCATTGGTAATGGCATGTTCCAATGGAATAAAAAGGGGGTTAGTATGTATTGTCATGAATGCGCACTTATATATTAATGCCTCAAAATGCGAAACACACTGCCTCAAAATTATCCTTAGCAAAGGGATTTAAAAGGCTGAAGGTAAGTGCATATTCAACTCACCTCTCTTGGTATAATGCGGCAAGCACTTGTCACGTATGACTCTCGGCCTACAAGCAAACTCCTTCCTCGTTTTTTTTAGCAGCTCCGCATATATTTATGTTAGCCCGTATTACGAGGCCTGTAAGGCTTCTGAGAAGCTTCGAGACCCCATTCTAATTTTCTAGATCCACGTTAATATCAGATTTTATTAAAATACAACTAACTATCCTACAAGGCCGCCGAAATATTTACACTTATAAATATGCCCGTCTTAGGCGGCCGTGACCCGTCGAACGGGTGGTACTTGTCCATCAACATTCAAGAGATCCTCCTTCGACGGGCCATCTGCCTACGGCCCGTGTGAAAAAAACGGCCGTCATCACCCATCCCGTTCAACGGGACGGACGGATGAGAGCCCTATTTGCTAGGGAATTCTGAGAAGGGGCTTGTTCCAAAGTCAGACAAATTTGGGATGTGTTCGTCGCGTCCTCCTATTACAACGAGCCCGTCGATCCTCCCCATTACCACAGACAACATGTTTAAAAGAACATGGAAAATAGTTTCGCCTCTTCACACTTTTGTCACAGGTCCGTATAATTCCTATAAATTAGCATTGATGTAGCGATCCGAAAAAATGTACCCGTTGAAAAACCATCTCGTAGAGTGTTGTCCGCTTATATTAAATGAAAACCGAAGAGAAGGAAATGTTCTCTAATATATTCGCATGGTCTAGGACACTTATTCTGAATAATTAGAGCAAGGGACAAATTGTCTGGAATTTTCGCAGAAAGACCTATGTTTTAAGAGGATTTGTCAGCAATGCAGATTATCATAAAAAATTATTTCACCTTCGTCTGAGCTTCTTCCACAATGGAAAATGGACCCCCTAATCGCCTCAAGCACCCCGTCGACTACCACCGCCGCGCCGTGTTCCTTTCTCCCCTTCATGTGACATGTGTCACTAATTAGACACATCTCGTCACACTGTCCCGAAACGGATGCCTGAGGAAAAGTGTGTTTTGCAGTCGCCAGTGGGAATCCCTTAACATTTGGTGTACAACTTTATGCTACGACAAGTGCGGTTCGATCGAGGCCATAAAATCTGGAAAACCCCTTCATAAAACTTCCCAGGGTATCCAAAAATTCACATATTTGCGTAGGATGTTGGGATTGATCCAATTAACATATCAATATCTTACAGCAAATAAATCTACAAAGAGATGGGAGAGATATTCATGTTCAAACACATCCCACAATTTTCGGATCTTGTGGCAAGCCTTGATCCGAACCTAATTGTCTGCCGTGTTATGTAGCTTCAGTCGCTCGGTCATATTTGGTCTCACGGGGGTTGCCATCAATGTCATGTGTATCGATCTCAGCTTTATTCCGAAATGAGCCGCGATGTGCCAAGACGGCAAAAGCCGCAAGGCCAAGAGAAACCGGCCAAAAGGAAGATGAAAACATGAGGAAAGATAGTCTAGGATTTGATGGGGGTACCTCTGAGAGGCGTTCGTGGGATGATGCTGAGTTCCAAAACCTGTGATCCGAGCTGAAGCCGTCGCCAATTATTATTAGTAATATCAGAAATAGGGTGCTCTCCATTGCGACTGAGTCGCGTTTGAGTCAAGTTTGAGTCGCGTCCATGGCTGAAGACTCTGATCCTCTAAGGGACAATAATCAAGATGGATATAGAAACCCCCTCAGTACTCCACGAGCTGTACCTCCGCCTCCTAATCCATTCTTTATGCCCGCACCGATGCCTTTTTATCACTCGCCAGCAACTCCGGGGACGGGGTCATTCATGTTCAGCCCCCAGCCATACCCATATCTTGTCTCAAGCTATCCTCCCCCATTGGCTCCCGTTCCTGGCCCGGCTTTCCAAACTCCTCCATTGACTGAGGCAGCGAAGCAGGACTCTCTTGGCTGTTGCATTTACCGGGGAATTATTCAACGGTATTGTCCCAGGGACATCCCCTCGCCGTCAGAAGCGCATATTTCAATGGCCCATCGATGTTGTGACAACGGAGGATCGCTTGCTTGTGGTGATTCGCGCTATTCGCAAGGCAGGCTTCCCCACCATTGACAGCTTTTTGGCTGTGTTATTTGAACGCAAGTACAACAAGCATTCCAGCGTCTCGTCTTCAATCGCCTCCTTCTTGCGAGGTGCAGAAGATGATCCGACTCATCACCCCGTTGCAATTGTCAACTTGATTTTCCACCATGTCAAGTCTCAGCGTTGGACTGCGGGTATCACAGAGGAGCCGTCTTTCTCGCTGCCCCGTCATGCCCTCAGACCATCCCTCCGCCTGGACAGTAACCTCATACCTCCGGGATCGAATAGCACGCGGAATGCGCTAATTGATTGGGCCCTCAATATCATTCTGGTGCGCGCGGATACAGAGTCAAATCGACTTTTGGATCCTACGCACGAATTTGTCCGGTTGCCTGGGACGGA